AGTGAAAAAACATGAAACTAAGTAAAAAACGGTTTTGTTTTTTTAAGGAATTAAACCTGTTTCCTAAAAAAAGAAATATTCGTTAGGTATAAATAAATGAATTATCATACGCATGGTTTGAATTTGACACAAGGTCAAGCCCATACATTACAAAAGGCAGTCAAGAATGGTTGTCCTGTTAGTATTCGTTTATCGCGTGCTAATTTAATAGGGGACGATACGATGTTGCTCACTCAACGACAAATACAAAAGATTAACAAGCTGTTAAAAAATGGTAAAGGTGGTATGGTCTTGGAGTTGAGTGTAAACATCTTAAACAAAACGTGCAAAAGGAAGGTGGTTTTTTTACCCATGTTGGCTGGTTTGGCTATGAGAGCTCTTCCCATGTTAGCTAAAACAATACTACCCGCTTTAGGTGTAGGTGCTTTGCGTGGTTTAGATAGTAGTGCCATGAGTGAAGCCGTTGATCCTGGTCTTTACCTTAAACGTGGAGGTAATGTTTGCATTTGTAAAAAAACAAGGTAAAGGTTAATATCTCACCCCAGGTCAACTCCCTAACACCTACTGGATATGGGTTGTATTTAAAACATGGAGGTCATTTTTATGATACAAATGATAAACAGGTAGTGGTTTGCTTTTAGGTCCCAGTAGTCCTTTAAGTCAAGTTCCTCTTCTAGGTTGGTTGTTATAAATAAATGGATGACATCGACTCTAACAAGCCAACGTATCGAGAAGTCAAAATTCGATCCGTTGAACACCTTCTAGAGGTAGAGATGCTTAAATACACCAAAATTTTAAAAACATACAATAGACTATACAAGGTGCTTTCTGTTGCATTTGAAACCTGTTCTGTTCTTAACGTTATTTGTACAATCAGTGCACTCAGCACTGCTGCAACAGGAATCGAAGCCATAGCTTACATTACTTTAAGTTCACTAGCGGTCATTAATTCGTTGGGAGTGAAGGGGTTAACGGTATTATTCAAACGTATCAATAAAAAATATAAAAAAAAAAACATAAAGATACCGTACAACTAATTATAACCTCTAAATCTAAAAATAAAGATGCAGTTAGTAAAGCTTATGATGATGATGAGATTAGTGATATAGAGTTTACAGATATTGTTACATGCTTAGACTCTTAGTACACTGAAAAACGACACTTACGACTACCCAAGAAAAACATAAACTAGAAGCACACACCAACATTTGTTTATCCAGTGTTTGTTAGATTAAAAATGAATTGGCATTCACTTGAGAGGGTTGTTTACTTAAGGAGCACTTTGGTGGTATTTACATTCTAACCAAATTGTACGAAAAACACTCTTGTTTAAATTTGTTACTTATTTTTATATTTACATAGGCACCTTCCAAAGGTTCATTCTCTCTGTTTAACCAACTACAAGCCCACACCCTTGTTATTTCTCCTTCCCTTAATTCCATTGTCAAAATATAACTCTTACCAAACTTACCATCTACTTCTTTCACTTCATTAACTTTATACCAGAACCCGGTGGGAAGGTTTTTCCATTTTAAGGTTTCTTCATTTTGTTCCTGTACCTTTTCTTCTAATTCGCTAATACTCATAAAGTCATTCTCAAACAAAGCCATCGTAATATAATTACGACAAAACCTTGTCTTTATAGTGTTTTTTTTTTAATTTTGTAATGTGTTACATAACCGTTCAATCTTCATCTCTTACTCCTATTTAAATTCTAACCCTAACACACCTAACCCTAACACACCTTACCCTAACACGTGACACACCTTACTCCTAGTCAACAGTTTTACAGCATACTACTTTTACTTTTACACCATTAAACTACTTAACGTTATAATGTAACGTCACTATTTTCACTTTATAATATGACGTCACTTTCACATTCACATTCACTTTCCCACTTTCACTTTCACTTTTTGTTACTTAAATTGAAAATGGTGTAGAATTGTCATTTATACACTACTTTCGCCAGTTGCGGAATGTCCAGCCGATCAATCTGTTGCACCATTGGACACTATTCCGTCTGTGTAACGGCCTTATAAACGGATTCAAGATACGACCTCCTGGGTCTAATGCCAAGTTGTCGCAGTCGATAGCGGACTGTTTGTGAGCAGATTCTTCTCAATCCTGGTATCCCAACTGCAGTGGCTGTTGCGGCAACAGTTCGATTCCGTAGATGAAATACCCGGATGTAGCGATCTTGTCCAGGTGTCGTTAGGCGAGGTCGTCCACTCCTCGGGCGGTCCTTAGTACAGCCAGTCTGCTGGTATCTGTTCCAAAGTCGCGAAATTGTGTTCTGGTTAACATTTCCAGTTGCTACTTCACTTTAGGATACTCCGGCCTTGAGACGGCTGATGACGATATTTCGAATAGCAAGGTCCAACTTTAGCATGGCAGCGTTTTAACGTTGTGATGAATTAAATCTTTAAATGCGCAATAAAAGCAACAGTAGTATACCGCTGTTCGAAACTCATAAATCGATAGAGATAAAAACAAATCCGGGTTACAAACTAAAACTGAGGGAAACGCATCAAATATAAGAGGAGAACAACGACACAACAAAAACACAACATTAAAATGTAACACACACAGAAACGAACTATAATATAACAATGGCCATTTTTCTGACTTGGTACAGGACATTTTAAGAAAAAAATGGTGGGTTGAACCTCGTTTTGTGGAATGCCAAACCTCCCGCTTTTATGGCAACGTCAAACACAACACCAAAACGACAACACCACATGACAGGACCACAATACAAATAAATGGGAGAACATATAGGACAAAGAAACACACGAATAATAGCTAACAAAAGGTACTAGGCTTAAAATTCAATACGCCAGACGTGCGTCTCGTCCACACAAGACCAACCAGTGACGCTCAGATGAAAAAAGTTTGAAAGCCAAAACAAGTACAAAGCTGAAGAGCACCGAGGACCAAAACTTCCAAAACGTTGCGCCCAACACGGCCAGGGTTTTCTGCCCGGGACAAGAACATCCTTATTATTTAGAATAATTTACAAAGACGGTCAATAGTTGTAGTGTCACGTAAGGCAAATCTAGAGATAGACAAAAGCCATGTGTTTTAAGCATGTGTAGATGTTATATTAGTTTTTATACAGCATTTATAGTAATAAATGTATATTTGATTTACTAAAATAGGTTATTGTTTTATTTTTATATATGTATTCCCAAAGCATCATCTATGCAATTAAATATTAACTATATATCGTTTTATGTACACTGTTTTATATCGCTTTTTTCGTGCGTTACACATAACATCTTTTTACTTGCTATTTGATTAGTCAATATCATTTTATTGAAAATAAAACAGCAGATATTGTATAACAATGATCAACAGATGATACACTAAAGTTTTTAATTGACACAATACTGTTTGGGGAATACACTTTACAAGATGGACCTTAATGATATTGATACATGGTTGACAATCTATAGAAACACCAATACATAATTTATCACAGTTCTCGTCATGCATTTTAATAGAAACGGTCGAACTATTAACTTAGATTAAACGAATACTTTATATCTGATAACATAACTGGATATGAACAAATGTATATTTCCGTACAATCGGCTATTTTGGGGCGGTCATATTTGAGTGCTGTGCGGAAGTGGAGGAAGTCGTAGTGGCGTAGGAAACCACCGACTTTCGGCATGAACATTGGTAACATATCCAATAAAGTCTGCCACGAGCGTGGTTAGAACTCACAACCTCTGTGTTGACTGACTGATACAACTGTAGAATAACTACGTCGACCACTCGGCCACCACAGATCCTTACAAATCAGACGATATATGCATGTATTAGTTAAATTACAACCGAAAGTATTTTAACGATGTTCAAATCATATAGATCCATTATTAATATACAAATTAAAGAAACAAACATACCATCGTTAATCAATTGAACATACAATCTCTTGTGACAAAAGGTCGTGGCAGTATTTACAATGTTAACAAGAAAACATATTAAATTGAACTGCTTTAGTCGTACATTTAGTCCTGAAACACGAAACAGAGTACCAACCCGTATAAGAACTTTTAATTAATAGAAAAAGAAATGAAAAACGTATTGACATCATTTCACTTTCTAGTGCGTGATGGAAACCATCAAGACAATTGATACAGGTTGGTTGTAAGAAGTGCCCTTAGTTTTTATTTGCACATCGGTAAACAAGATATCGTGTAACTATTTAATTTAAACAACAACATATTAAATTGAACAGCCGCACTTTTACTTTTAGTCGATAAACGTTAGACAGATTACATATCAATTAATTAAAAGAAACTGAAATGAAAAATATCTTGATTTATAACAAACCCCTCTAAAATTGTCTGTTTATAGATTTTGAAAAGCAGACCTTTCACGAACTTCACGTCATGGCGGAATGTAATACATTTGACTGAGAGTTTCAAATCAGTCGGAAAATAATCATTTATTAAATTCCATGCTTGTGCTTAAATGGAGTAAGTCAAGTACACAAAGTCATGTAGTATCAATTATGTATAACATCGATCTGGTCAGGACTTGGAAATCTCAAGACTCATGATAACATCACTATAATTGGCAGTCATCAAAGGATTGGTGATTGTATTGTTTAATTTGAATGCGGACAAACATTTTTTTCTTCTTTCTTATTTTTCATAGGTTTTTGTGTCTTTCTTTAAAGTATTCATCAAGCCTTCGAAACCAAAGGTATATGTACTTTCAAATTGAAGAAAAAGTGATTGTATAATCGAACGTCTGGTTTTATAAGTTGGTAAGGATTCTTTTTTTTATTAATTCAAATCATTACCAAACTTCTACCGTATTAGTTCATTTCATTTTTTTTTCTTTTATTGTTGTGTGTTTTATTTTAGTCTCCGACTGTGTACTAAGAAATATTCTCTCAGATTTGTACACTTATAGGCAATATAACTTGGCAATGATGTAACATAAAATATACAATAACGTAAACATGTTTTTAATTGTTATTTGATCAGAAATTTAGTTTTTGAGTACAAATTTTTCTTGAGTCTGTCGCTTCATGTATGCTGGGATTTATAAATGATGAATGGTCAAACAATCATGTGTCATAATGGGGAATGCAGCGTCCACTGATGCAGGAAAAATGACGACAGCAAGGGCAAATTCTTCTAAAGAATCTCGGACTCCTTTTCACAAGTCTAAACAAGACAAAAGTTAGAATGAGTATTCAGTGCACATTCAATGTGACAGTCATACACATTGCCTATTGTATATAACGATGTATATCTATCAATTCAGACGAAAACAATTATTTAAGGTAGAAATATACATTTCCGCATTTGTTATAGCAACTCGTAATGTTTATGAACAGAAATACTAGAAGTAATGTCTGGTGTTTTATTTGAATTACTATATACGTCCTAGAACTTAATTTTTTTTTTTATTAAAAAAACATATCTTGAGGTTTTCATTAATAGTTTTATTGATGATCAAAAACTTATGTTCCAAATGCCTTTGGTAAAGATGACATTATATGGTTTTGGCTTTTTCTTTTATTTCCGTTTTCGTCATTAAGCTTGTTCGATGAAGAATAGCAAGTAATAGATCCTCATACGCACTAAATCTATGTATCTATACATTCTAGAGATTATTATTTATAAAACAATTCCACAAAAGTTTATTGCTGACATAGACGTTTATGTCTTATTCTTAGCCATTAACATTATCAACCTATTATTTTATTCACATTATTTATGTTTTAAATTTGTATGTGTTTGTGTGTATATCATTTATCGGTGGGTAAATAAATGTTATGTTTTCTAAAATTGAAATTGGAATCGGTTGATTTTTGACTGATGCACAAACAACAGCGTCATCAAAAGTTGCGTTTTAATTGCAAGTTAAGAAGACAGAATAATGATAGTTTGATCATGTTCGTGTATGTTTTAAATTTTGTTGTTACATCTGTTTTAATTCATGTTCTTACTCATAACTGTTTTTCTTTCTTAAATATACAATTTTGGATTTAATTGAATAATAAAAGAAATATTCAGCGTAAATTTCTTATCATATTCACTCTTAGTATAAAAGACATTTCATTAAATTTTCTTCAGAGACTTTTTAGAACGACTTCTTCAACCATTAACGATAACAACTATTAGCCACTCAAATTAAATAAGTGTTGCCTGCACTCTTACGTACAGTAAATGGAGCGAGCGAACACAATGTGAAATTAATTAATGTTTCCACACTTATTATTTTAGCAAGCGTACTTCAGATTTCTTAAAACATTTTACCAGTGGAAACTATTTTTCAATCTAACAAATAGTTTTCAGTAAAATGTTTAGATCCAGAATCTAAGAGCGAGCAAATCCTAAGAACTAGGAATTAATTTTGAGTGACCTAAGGTGCATATATTTAAAATTTAACTTACTTCTGAAGAAGTCCATTGTCTTCCAGCATTTCTTCATTTGATATGGTGACTGGACATTTATGAAAAAAAAATGTCATAAGTAATAGATTAATTCCCATCTAAAGACAAACATATCATTCAGATTTAGTCAATTGACAATGTATACACTTACGTTTATGTGTAGTATCTCAGACATGTAATAGATTTTTTTTTGTAATTTTCATTACAAAACATTGAAAATGATACAAAAACCCTCTGCATTGATCAGATGAAAATAGTAGTATATAAAGGGTTACATTTGGAAGGGAAATTACACCATGCGCGTCAAATTTGATGTCCCTCTTTTATTGATATGTATTTCAAAATTATCTATGTTCGATTTATCAATATTTGTTTTCTCATATTCAAAAGTAGTTAAACAGGTTTCTAACAATAAAAATACAGCTAATGATAATCCATACACAGTTGAACTACCATAACCTTTCTTGATTTTGTTTGAATGTAAACAACGATGTTCTCACATTAGTAAAAACAAGTTCTATGTCGTTTTTCCCTCTCCTATTGCTTGCAATCAATTCATCCATGGCGCTAACCAAACCCTCAAAATAAATAGAATAATTTCCGAAGCGGATTATTCAATGTCAAGAGTCAAAAATTATTTTTATGGTTCAATAAATTCAAAATAAATAAAAGCCATTCATTATAAATAAACTTCTATCTAAAATAAGGCTCAAAGAGCTTTTTATATTATTTATATTAACAATAACAACGTACACACATGTTGGCGTATGAATACACAACGTCAGAGTTGGCGTGTCGCCATAAAAATTGACAACATTGAAAATAAAAGTATAACTTTTAACCAATCAGAAGACAGTTATTTATTATCAAATGAAGAAAAAAAAACCATGTTGAACGCTTTATGTTTTTCTTGATTTCTATTGTGTTTTTTAGTAAGTGAAAAACATCTATACTACCCACAACTTCTTTCTAAAAAATTCAAACAGTCTTAATATTTAAATTTGAAACGAAAAGCTTTTATTTTTGTTAATTTTTGAACGTTTAATATATTCAGAGAAGCGGTATTTACCTGATCAAAATTACCGGTGATCATGTCATCACTAACACAATAGACATCTTTAAATCTTAAGGGAAAGTTAACTTTCGTCAAATAAACTAAACAAAGATTATAATTTATTCATATTCAACTACTTATACATGTTTATACTTACATATACTGTATATAAAATCAATTGCGTATTAAACTTTAATATTTAAAACTATCCTTATGTTTTCTTACCTCCAGCAAACACCAACAACAGAAGGACGATTAAACAAACGGAAACCTTCATTGACTGTTTTACTTCTCAATTGAGGCTACAAAATAAATGCAGTACTGTTGCCTGAAAATGAATGTAATTAGGCAACACTTTAGTTTTTAGTTTAACGAGGACGATTGTAAATTGCTGCAAATACCAACCTTAACATCTTTATTTAAGTTAGATCTGTAACAAGTGGCCCTTTAAATATAAAAACAACAGATCTAGAATAATTGCTTATGAGGCTTTCCGCCAAACTATTCAGGGTTAGGAATGTACTTTACGTTCCTGATGAATGCAAATCTAGAAAAGCGCTTCGGACGCATGAAATTATTTAACGTGTTGTTTTCAATTTTTTATGTTAACAATGTTCACAATTTAGCATATGCCATCAGCTATGAGCAAAACTTATCCCTTACAGTAGGTTATTTATATCCGGATAGCTAAATATAAAAGAATGCAACAGGACAAAATAACGGCCTGATGGAAATATATGGTTTCCGAAACGGTATTCTGATTTTTCGTTTCGTCTCTAGAAACCTCCCCATTTTTATTTGAATTTCTTACTTTTTTGCTTTTTTATGCAAGAGAATTAATTTTTTTTTCAGAAATTGCCCATAGTTCAGATCAGCAGATTGCCAGAATTTATTCAATTTAATTTGTTATTTGAAGAAATAAATTCCCTATTAACATGGTAGATCCTACGTGTGTACAAATAAAAAAAAATGACGTCATAATTCGTTTTCATTTCATTAGTGTTTGTTAAACAAAGCTTATTTTATATGTGTTTCATTGCCAAAACTAAAACATCGGGAAAAAAGTTTTACTGCATATGAGGTAACACAGTATTATGATAATAAAATATTCTAGAGAATTGCATGATTTTCAAGCAAACTGAGACCGACTGTGTCGATGGAATAAAATGTTGTGTGAATCGGTTTCAGTTATTTGTCCTCATAAACCTGATAGAGAAAAGGTGTTAGGAGCATATTCTTGGAAATGAAGTTCTTATAGAATGAAAATACAGGCGAGAAACTTTTCATCGGAGTAATAAAAGATGCATGCAATCTTTAGAGGCTATGTTACTGCGGAAAAATGAGAAGTTGACAAAGACAAAACCGGCATAGTCATGTTACAAAGGTATATCATAGTTTACGCCATTCACCTGAATTTTTTAAATAAAGATAACAATTCCTTGATAAAAATAAACTCATCATCGATACCATGAATAAAATTTTGTATAACGCAGACCTTATAAGTCGGTAGTATCATTTTGCCAAGTTCACTAGGATATATCTACGGCAACAGCAGTGTTTTTTTTTTACGAAATTGTTTATCGTTATTAAACGGGTTATTATTTTAAACTTGGATGACCAAAGGTAATTATGTTGAAACTTGATCAATTATTATGAAAAATGTTCGTTATAATGTTAATTCTAACTTCCTATTGACCTGATTGATATAACAATGAATGCAAGTAACGTAGCACATTTTGGTTAAAACATGTAAAACGCGAAATCGCTTCTTCTTTTTAAGATATGCGACGTTAATTGCTACCTCGGTGTTTAAAATTAAACAATATTTTCATTTTATCATTAACGTAATATAAAAAGTACTTAAATATTAAGTATTTAATACTGTCACTGGCTGAAAATCTTCCAAATCTTTGCTGTTTTCAGCTTTTATACGCGATTTTAATACAAATACAACATTACGTATTCTGAAATATCCCGCTTTGCAGTTGTTCGACCTTTAACGATTAGTTCACAAACACAATTACTTTTAATATAGAGTTTTTGTGACAAATTCGAATATAAACACATATTTACAAAGTAGTTTGTTTAGTGCAAGGCAGCTAAATTTACAAGGATAAGTTATCATTTTATAACATGTAATGATACGATTCATTACAAAAAAGGATTGGTGAAAGGTAGAACCATTTACATAACATTTGGCTTGTTACTACATTAATTTATAACTTAAAGGAACTACAAATATACGGAAATAAGTGCGTAAGATAAATATTTAAGAACTTACATGACTTAAAGGTATCAAAAAACATTCATACAAATGATTGTCAGGAATTTTATGAACTCCAAAAGGAACGATACATATGTTGATGCAATACAAAATTTAATTTGAAACATCCATCCTTCAGCATGTTTAAGATGGACATCCGTAGCTCCCAAATTTTGACAATTAAATGAAAACGAAAAACATGTGCTTTATACAGAAAGTATACTGTAAATTCAGAAATTATTACGTGCATTTATTATTGCGATTTTTGAAGAAGGACAAACATGCGAGATTTATTATTGCGATTTCGGGAAAATCTGCATACAGATGTTTGGATCAGATATCAGAATGCGAGTTCTTATCATTGCAATACCCAACAAGTCGCATTATTGGCATTAAGTAAAACCGCGCAATAATTTCTGAATTTACAGTAGATGATTGAGGTAAAGGTATGTTTGCCAGAAACTAAGATGATTAGATGATATACTGTTCTTAAAATATTCACGATGTGTCGTCTTGTTAACATGGTTGAGGTTCTTGCGCGGTTAGTAAAGTATTTTAGGTAACCGTTATTCATTTATGGTTGTCTTTCTGATATTGTTTTACATCTAACCCCCTTGTTTTATTAATTTTGTATTTACATTGTGTCATGGATCAAATGTAATCGTTCAGCGTATGTTCACTTGTTTTTGTTAATATGTCTTTGATTGAGTTAAGCTATTTCAATTGATATTTTATAGTGTGTCGTTCTATGTTGTGATGTTACACTTGCTAAAAATGGATACAAATGAAACTAATTCAGATTTAGGAAACACGTTTAAGATAAATAAAAAGAGCTACTTTAGAAGGAATTTTCAAATGCTGATGTTGCAAGATGAACTGGGCAAAATCTACACTTGGATAAAATGTTTGCAAATTAAACATATTAAGAGGAAAAAATTATGACGAGAAATACTTAACTTAAACATATGAACTAAGCGAAACAAAAAAAAAATTGATTTTGAATCAATATTTTTGATATTTACACTTGTTTGAAATGATAATATAGTTATGTATCAAAACAACACATTACATGGACAAATTTAAATATCAATATCGAATTGATATCGACTCTAGTTTAAGATGAATACAACGTAAAATCTATGCAAAGTAAAGAATAGATGCTTCACATTACAAGGGAAATTTAAATGTCGATATTGAATCGATATCGACGATATCGACAATATAACCAAAGGAATAATTTTATATACAAATAAGTAAAATGGATTCCAAGTAATAAATCAAAACAATACATAAGAAGGAAAAATTAAAATGTTGATATCGATTCGTTATCGACACTAGTTTAAGATGAGTACAACGTATAAGATTCAAAGCAACAAATGACGAGCGAAATTGAAATGTCAAAAGAATAGAACCTTATAATGCTTTAAGTAAATTAAATCAATTGTCGATTTTGATTCAATATCGTTGATATCGTCGATATCGACACCTACAGATGAACCAGGACAACTTACTGTTATTCATTAAGTAGATAGATGAGGTTTTATTATAAATCCGAGAACATCGATATCGATACGATATCGTCGATAGCGTAAGTAAATAAAATAAATTGTCGATGTCGATTATATATCGTTGATATCGTCGATACCGACACCTTCAGATGAACCAGGAGAACTTACTGTTATTCATGAAGTAGATATGTGAGGTTTTATTATAAATCCGATATCGACACATACAGATGAACCAGGGCAACTGGTAAAGTAGATGAATGGGGTATATAGTGATTAAGTTAATATCAATATCGATTTGATATCGTTGATATCGTCGATATCGTAACTACATCGTGTCTTGGACATACCTCAACAAAAGTCCACCAATAAGGAAAACACAGTTCAATTAGCGTGTTTGGAAAATATGAACTGATTGGACTAATGAAATCATCGATATGACAGGATTGACCAGTAACACGAGTAAGTTGTATGTATGTTATTTGTTATAATTTTCATTCAAATAACCTATTTGCAAGTTTTGTCCATTCAGCCATACGTCAAAAAGTAAGAATCTTCAAGATGCACGGAATAAAAATGTTCCCTTTTTTTCAAAAATGTGGTTTTAATATATTTTATTTTGAATTATGACATACACAAAATGTTGACAGAATGTATGATATATTGTGGATTCATTATTATATTGGATAATAATTTTCGTTGATTTCGTTAGTATAAGTAAAGAACGAATTTAAATTTTCAATGAAGTACACATTTTCAATGGCACATATTTTGATATTATTTCTATTTATAATACACCAGCTGCCACTTCAATATAAAAAATGGATATCTGGTATAATTGCCAAAGATTACAGTCAGCAACCACTGACAACAGCTTAAGTACAGGCAGGGATAGTCACATATAGAACGTGGCTTGTCTAAACATGTTAATTTGTAATCTGTCAACCCTCCCCTTACCTGGGATAATGGTATAACAGCACAAAATAAAAACACATTATAAACATCGATTAAAAATGACATGACTCATCTGATTGGCACGAAGCACAAACACAACTAGATAATACAAAAGAAACATAGTACCGATATAATAGAAGTCGCTATTACCAAACATACCAAAAGCTATTTCAAAGCCAATAACAACTTATAAATAAACCATGTTCTCCCATACTAAAATATGAATCAGTACACATCCAAAGAGTAAGTGCAACGACGTCATGAACAGTCTGGAGTCTTGTATAATGCCAAAATGTTCGAACAAAGTATTGACAGTTTTTCAACTATACGTTAAATTAATACCACAACACACTTTAAGGTATAAAAATGTACCTATAATACATACCATATCATGTTATGGAGGGGTATTTGCGAAAAATACCAGTCAAGGGACTGTAAAATTTCCCGAGCCGCTAGGCGAGGGAAATTCGGTCCCAAGACTGGTATTTTTCGCAAATTCCACTCCATAACATGATATATATGTTTAATTACACCGAATAGATTTGGATTGAAACTAATTCATTAACATGTGTATGCATAATTTTGAGGATAAGAGGATAT